CCAATACCGGTAGGATATAGAGACTGGTAGAAATCAGAGGGTAGCACAATGGACCACTACAGGTCTAAGTGCATGGGGCAACCCACCCTCTCTAATAACTAACTAACTAACTACTGTACATTTGTATGCATCCAGACGCAGCTACTGTCTGTCATATATTTAAAACAAGCACAGAGTCAGCCCTGTTCAGACTCAGTGTTATAGGGTCTTCTATGCGCTGTTTGTAGCCATTTAGCAATTAAATAATTTCTGTGCTGATTCTAAACATTTCTAATACTGGTATATTAAGCTTAGTATTCCTAGATTTCTAGACTCTGTCCATTGTCTACACCCCAATAAAACATTTTGGAAACTGGGATGTTTTTCTAACCTCAGGTGACAAGAGCAGGAGGCACCTACTCAGTTGCATCCATTACAAAGAGCCAGTCTCCCCACCTTTTCACATGAAGACGGAAATAGATCCCGTTTATAAAATTTTCTGTTCAGAATACTAGATGAAAGACAAGTTGAGAAACCCTGCAATACTGATTGCATGATGTTCATCTGTGTTCACAGTCTGCCAATATACCCTCTCTAGATCCAGATCAATCCAGGTTACATCTTCACACGGCCAACCAATAAAAAAAAAAAAAAAAGGGTAAAGCTANAAACACAAAAAAAAACAAAAAAAAAAAAAAAAAAAAAAAAAAAAAAAAAAAAAAAAAAAAAAAAAAAAAAAAAAAAGGGTAAAGCTATCCCTGTAACAGGCTGTGAGACATTGAGGGGCTCCCACATTTTCTCTATAGACAGTCAGCTCACAGACAGCAGTAGGGTTGCCAGCCTTACGCACCAGCCGCACTTTACCCGAAGGAAGATTCCTGGTACTCACTTCTGGTAGAGGCTGAGTTGACCCCAGGGTCATAATGCAGCTGGAAGGATTAGGTAAATTGAAAATATCCACCTCATCGGGACTCGAACCCATGACCTTCCAGCTTGAAGCATAGTACCTCAACCAACTGTGTGCACCTCCAATTTATTTAAGATCCATTTTGATATTATCATCCCACCCACCCACACACACACCTCCTGATATACAAATTACTGAGTTCCTTAGTATACAGTATTCTCCAGTTTCTCATTACTGTGTCTAGCCGTTATGTATCGCCTTCAGAACTAACCTTACTCTGTGAAAGCCTTCCCAGATTCACCTGAATATTTATCAGATTTGTGAACCTGTTCCACAAACACTTTTTCTTTCGATATTTTGGAAAATATCTCTGAACAAGAGAAATCTTTCAGTGGGTCTTCACAATGATCAAGGCTGTCACTGTTTCTATTTTAAGTCTCTTTTTTTCGCCTGACCATAACACATTTATTACATTTATTACCGTGCCAAACAAAAACTAATTAGACATTTAATGTTAACAGCATTTATGTTCCACTTTGTAAAATGTGCCAACATTTCACATCACTTTTCAGTGACATTTTGGTCCTTTTTTTTTTCATTCCACACTTCCAATTTGCTTTCACGATATTTTTAAACACATGAAAACTCATCAAACAGGTCATCTTCATTCAGTGACAAATCAGGTACCACAGTCTTCATGAAACCATAGTTAGCTTGTACGCTCTTCCAAGTCACCTTTCCCTTCAAACTGATCAAGTCCATAGGGTGAAGAGGCAAAAGAAATGGCAAACACCAAGCCTGAATATATTCAGTGCAGGTATCATAGAAGTCCTCTGGATAGTTATTAAACTTTTCAATCATTATATGTCCTTTTTCTATTTCTTGCAGCTGATCTCTCACAGCAGTTGTAAGAAATCTCTCTGTCTGCCTACAAAGTAACTTGTCTAACAGTTTGATAATTTCATTCATTATTGTGGTATCTTGTTTTTCAATACATTTGATTGTCTGGGAAAAGGTTTCCAAATGGCTGGTAACAAAATGTAAGAGGGTGAATGAAAATGAATTTTCAAAGAAATTCTGAAGGCTGACTGGACACTTCTCAAGGGAAAGTAAATAAGATTTTAATGCAGGGGAAGTAGCAATAATTCTCTATACTGCAGATAAGAGGGAGAGCCTTCTTGTCTTGCTATGACCCAGAACAGTTTTATACTCTGTTTCAATGAATTCACAAAATGATTTCAGTCCCTCAACTCGCACAGAATAAATGTGAAAATGCTGGTAAATCCTTTTAATTATTAACTGAAGATCAATATGTAAGCAGAGANGACCGTGTCTCACGGTGTTGTCGCTTGCAGATTTACCTATACTTCTTCAACCCTGAAGATGGGGGCGATACGTTCCTCCGAAACGTCGGTTAACACCACATATACACGGTGCCAAATCCCAGAAGACTGCTTTCTTCATAGTCACCGCCGTGAAAGCCTCAAATCTTACAATATGTAAGCAGTCCACAGCAGTCTGCACCGCATTGTGCACCACATGTACAGGACAACCTATACCGATCAAGTTGTTTGATATTTTTTCTTGCAGTTTGTAGTACAGATTAGTCTTCCCTTTCCTTTTCTTACCACCGAAGTCTGTATTCGTATTATCTGCTGATATTGCAATAACTTTTTTCAAGGATCTCTAATTTCCGTAACATTTCTAACACATAAGAAAGCAGCAGATCTTAAGTCTCGTCACCTAAATTAATTAACACTAGCACCTTGACCATCACACCTTTCTCTGTGTGAAACTATCTCACAATCAGGGGCACTACATTTTCATCCAGGTTAGATAAATCACTCAGTACAGAAATGAAACGAGCTTCTTTTAGCTCTTGAAGAATCTGTTTTCTTGCAAATGACGCAATAATATTGGTGATTATTACTCTGCATTTTGTTTGTGAACATGTAAATTTATCACTGAATAGTTCTTCAAGATAGTGGTCATGCAATCCATGGATTTGAAGCTGTGGTTATGGACTGCAGTATGATATGCAAGGATTGCTTCCTATGATGCTAGTGATAACTGCTTTTTCATTTCACTAATATTCTTCCTACTTAAATAGTTACTTATGCTGTTATTGGAAGCTTTGTTTCGAACAGCCAGTTTATGTCCCCCCCTTACGTGACTGACGACATCCAACTGACCACCATGTGCAATGCAAAATTTTGCATTGCATAACATGCATTCAACATTTTCATTCACACCTTTAGTAAATGGATATTCGCTCTTAATACTGTCATTAATTCTGCACTTTCGTTTTGCCATCACTAAATGGATGAGAACTGATAAATTCTCACAGGCTCTCACAACACAATGCAAAGGTCAACAAAGAATGCAGAGAATGATACAAATGGAGCTTCAATTGCGGCAGCAAATGAAAATACTACCACAACATAAATGAAAAAAAAGACATATTGCCAACAGAAAAACTTATAAAAAACTCTGTGGTTTTAATCCACAAGCGAACTATACCAACCGAGCAACAGCCTTGTCAGTGAAGTTAGTGCCAACTTTAGCTGATAGAGGGTGTTGTGTGGTCAGCACAATGAATCCTGACAGAAAACTAATAGGTTGTGAAATTATGTTTGTGAATTAGCCACCAGGAGTGTTAACATCATTATAGAAATGCCAACTGCAGAGAACAGCATCCTTTACCAAGCAGTTATTGATAGAAATTAATGAATTAATGTTATAGAAGAGTGCTTAAAAAATAGGACATCTGAGACAAATTCAGGACAGCAGGACATTATATGAAAAAAAAACGGGACTGTCCCAGGAAAAGCGGAACAAATGGAAACCCTAGGTTATACCTCTGAACCATATAATACCATACTTTTTATTGTCTCATAAATATTCTGTATAGTTTTCTTTGTAACCCATTTCTTCCATATTACACCTTTCACTGTCAAGACTGCATATAGTTCATCCAAGGCTCAAAGTCTGACATCAGGCATTCAGAGCTTATTTGCAAGGAGTTTTGTTAAAGAATCAGTTTCTGTGACAGTGTTATTCTCATGAAGTTAAAATAACAGTTCCATGGTCCAATATATACAAATAGCAACCTCATATTGAACATAGTAAAGTTTCTAAAAGTCACATAAATTGCAGTACCTACAATCACACAAGTTATATCTGAAACATGTCTGAGGGTACATGAGACCTTGAGTAGGCAACCTTACAGATGACATGTCCTGTGTGCTCAACAGGACATCCAGTGCAGTGATTTTGGTTCCCATCGTATGCTGAAAAGAGAGTCAGGTAACCTCTCATGATGATGAAACAGTTATGTCGCCATCTGATAATGTAGCACCCTCGGATGTGTTTCAGAGTAGGGGTGGGCAAATTTTAGCCTGCAGATCAGATCCTGCCTGTGACCACTTCTTATGTGGCCCACATAGCTATCATAAAAATTTGCCTGCAGTATTAGTTTTAATCTATGTCAACATGTTTTAACATTAGAATTAAAAAGCTTGTCAGTGACTGCAAGCAGAATCAGCTGTCACACTGATGTGTTAGTAATGGCATTCATTGTGCACACTGCACATTTCTGCTTATTAAAAAAATACTTAAAAATATTATTTTGGCCTCTTTCTGGCCTGGCAAAACACTTGCATCCCGTAATCCAGCCCTTCAGCTATGAAATTTGTCCACCCCAGTTTAGACACACAGCAGTACCCTTACATGCATAATACTGACCAATACCACTGATGCAAGTGTTTGGTGAATCAGTTTGAACCTAGTTTTAGAATCTGCATTATTTAATTAAGCACCAAGCCATGAACACTTATAAGGAAGTGAACCTTGTGGTTAAATGAAGGTGAGCAGTCAGCTTCATACCCCTAGGGAAACAGCTCCTAATACCCACTGGACAGAGGTAGGTTAGGCCCCAGAGCAGGTCTCAACATCGTACGGAAGAGAAATATTCTGCTGCTAAAGGGAATTAATCCCCAGCTCCTGTGTCGTCCAGTCCGTAGTCTAGTCACTGTTGTGACTGCTAATCGAAACTATTCAGTGGGTACCAGGCTTCTTTCCCCAGGGTTAAGGCTGACCACTCACTTTCATACAGTGCTGAAGTTAAGAATGTATGGAGTTACTCCAGTGCTCTGTACATCCTCATGACATGAAACCTGATTAAGCGCAGGGACGACTTTAACCTTATTTGCACTACTAATTAATTTCTTTCTGTTTTTTTCAGGTTTTATTCAAGACTTTTGAACCTAAGATCTTCTTTTAGTTGTACCATCCTTCAGAAAGTCAGCAGGTTGTTTATTTAATTCAGCAAGAACTGAAGTTCATTTGTACATTCTAAATGAAGAGATTTTAGCATATTATTTAAGCGCAATCAAAACAATGCAATAAAGTGAAGCACGTGGCTACACATATCCTCTAAAAAGTCATGACAGAGTGAATCACAAACATTGTATGTCATCTGTTATAACATGTTCTTGGTGTTTGCATGCCTTCAACTGCTGGATCAGTTGAGCTTCATATGGCCCCACAGAACTACCAACATTACAGAATTAAATGTGGATCAAGGCATGACCTGCAGGCTTTATTATTATATGAATGTTGTTTGTAATAAGACCAAGAGACCCTCACTGCAATAAAATGTCAGGTCAACCATCAGAGCATGCCTCGCAGCAGTCTGCCAAGGAAACTGTAGCTCCTAAACCCTTCAAAGGAAAATCTTATGTTCTATCTGAATTTTTAAACTCAAAATTATTTTAACATTCCTCCATCAAGCAGAAATTATGTTCTTGTGCTCAAAATCTTGCAATGGAGATACTTTTAACTCATAAGTAACTCAAAGCAGGCTCAATGGAGACATGTATTCTTACACAAGCTGTTCATGCTGTCTGATTTGCCCTGCTGCATTTTCAAAATGAAGATAACACAGAGATACAATGCAGAAAATAATTATACACTGCTTTCAAACTTCTGAACAATAATTATAAAGTAAAGTGAAATAGTGACATTAAGACTTACACATATATTTTTCGTATATTACTTTCTACCATTTTTTTATTAGATTAACTTCTGGAGTGTCACTGTTAATAACTATGAGTAGGAAACTTTCCCCACAAAAAGCTGACTGCTGCAACTACATCCTGTTCCTCTTTTACCACTGAAATGAAGGGGGCATTCTACATGATGACATCAGAAGCAATATCTCTGCACCTGAATAAAAAATAATTTTAAATGCTGGTCCATCAAACAGATCAGTAACCATGAACTGATGAAGGCATTCTAACAGTACTCTACACCCAACCTAGTCGAACAGACTGGTCAAAGATGATGTGCCATATGTCAGGGAACCCCAGATGTTCAGACTGTAAAATGAATTTATATATGCGTGTAATGTGATTAGCAATGTCCAACCAAAGCTTAACTCAAGTTATTCTGTTGAGTATGAAAGTGTTACAATGTTTTGTATGATAGACTGCATGTTGCCATGTATTTTGAATGTAAAATACTCATTTTCATTGTAAATCATTTGTGTGTTCTGTATAGCATTTACATTGCAGTTGTTGATATACATATCCATTATTTAAATTATTATTTTATTTACTTGCTGTAACATTTGAAGTAATTTTAGGATCCCATTTTGTCTTAATAAAAATTACTTTTCTAGGTCATTCCTAACACAACAAGTAGAGAGTAAATGGCGGTTGTTCATGGCCTATTCAGACATGCTGAGAATACACTCAGGCAAGAACACCATTTTTAGAGCTTCATTTTGTGCATATTGAAGTATAAAGAGATTCTGAAGTTGTCTTGGAAACTCAAATGAAGCATAAAAAAGGTACAGGCAATTGACTTTTAGACATCTGAGTAATGGTATTATTTCAAAATTGAATGAATATACAGTTTCATCATAAAGTTGGGGTTGGAAATCTACCATGTCCCCTTCTCATAAGAACATGTCAAAAAATATGTAACAACAAATTTTATATTATTCTTACAAGTCCCAAACACACAGACTGATAGTTATGGCAGAAAATTTTGTTTGGGATACCAATATTTTTATATGAGACTTGGGTGCAACAGGCTATAATAGACTAGAATGAGGATAAAATTTGAGACAGGTACAGGTACTGGTACTGTGATTTTGTACCTCCTTTTGGCTCATAGTGACAGCTCAAGTGCCATTATGGAGTGCAAGACAGGCATAAGCTTGGTCACCCTTCTTTGCAACATTGGATGGCTGTGATCCCCACCACACTGAGCTCAACAGCTTGATGTGTATAGGGTGGCACCCCTGCATAAAAACTTTTCTCATCTGATTTGTTCACACCCCAACCCTGACATGTTATTCCCACACAGCTTTCAGCTGTTGAACTTGCCACAAATGTTGACAAGAGAGGTACCAACCACTCCAACCTAATCTGTTTATGTTCATTCTAAAATTATGATACCCTCATGAGGGCACTTTGTATATGTTCAGTGTTTCGGGACTGAAGCAGGGAATGTTGTAAAATAATAAATTACTGTGGCTCTCCACAATAATAAAGATCTGCATTATGTTTCAATCATGTTGTTGCTGTTGATGTTGATTGTTTTCACAAGTCATCAAATTGAACAGTGAAGTGGATGCTACTTTTTTTACTGTTATTTTTAACCAAAGATTCAGAAATGTTTGCAAGAAATTGTATAATGCAAGAGTCAAGGGAAAGGAAGTTAACTGAAGTCCCCTGTATTCTGCTCAATCTTGGGTCAGGGCTCAGTTTGTGCTCAGCAGTGAAACATAATTCTACCACAGACATGCTGTGGATCGTTACTCATTTAGAACAATGCAGGGTTTGAGGTCCTCATAGTGGTAACTGTGAAGAGCACCAGATTCTGATGGAAGTCTCAGATTTTGTGACACTGGATAGTTTTGTAGATAGGTACCACTTAGAGGAGCCTGTTTCCAAAACTACACAGCAGCACATCCCAGAAGACCATAATCTTAATACCCACTGCTTTGAGAACATCAAATCTCACTGCTAGTGTGTCTCATAAACCACTCACTCCATTAACGAGAGCCCTACTATGTCAGCTTACTTCGGAATAATTTCTGTTATGTGATTGAACATATGTACAGCTGTTAAAGCAATAATACAGGACTTTATCACTTCTGATTGAAATGAAAAAGGTTCTGAACACAGTCAAATGGGACCTTGGTTAGCTTACTTTCAACAGATCTCAAAATATTATAGCTACTGTATTGTTTGAAGATACATTACAAAACAGCACAGTTGTGTTCAAGACGTCAAGCCCTAATCAAACCATTTATTCTGAAAAGGACACAGGTCACTGGAACGAAACTCTGCAGGAGAAACAAAAAACTGGTTTTATGATTTCAAGTTGCTTTATAAAATTAACTGCTTTTTTATGGCTGAACTACAAAATCTCCCTACACATTGTTTGGTACTTAGATTCTAAAATGAAATTAACTGTTTACAAGATTATTTCTCTCCTGTGACTCATGCCCTTTTCAAAACTAATCCAATATCATCCACTTTATTTAAAAAATGAACACATGTTTTATAAAAACTTACAGAGTATATAATAAAAAAATAATAATGCTTTGTTTAATAATAGAAATTTATTAGAAATTTGATCCAGCATTCAAAATGACAAGCCTTCAAAAATAGCTGCTGGAGCCTTAGCAGGTATGTTTTGAAAAGAGCATCAGCCAGTGATTCAAGCCCTTTTCAACATAAACATGTGAATAAAACCAGCTATACAACAACAGAACACTCAACCCATACTGTTTTCAGATATGATGTAGATTTGCTATGATGAACATGAATCCCTGAAAATGTGCAAATGTCCAACTAATGGATTATGCCTCTTCCAAAATAAACAGTTCAGTTTCTTTTTGCAATAGTGCTTGCTCATGTTGCTCACTTAGCTGTAGGAAACCAGATACTGACTCTCAATGATATCTTGTGATGGATTATTTAAGGTACAGAGCACCATGTAAACTTGAGAGGATACACAAATATTGCCCTCCACTGTACACCACACTTTTGAGCTTTGGCTTTCAGAATTTCTCACATCACCCTTAATGACATCTAAAGGTTATATGTGGAATGTAACTCTACTGGACCCACATCCTCTGGTAAGACAGCTGGTTGGTATGAGCACTGTGACCAAAATGGGCCAACACAGTATCAGTTTTCATGGGTGGAGAACAATGTATGAATTTAGCATTCGGGACTAGGCTACATCAAATGTTAAGGGCTTCCAACATTTCAGTGGATTGTCATTGTTAGGGTTAATTACTGTAGGAGGGGTTTCGGCAGTTCTTATATGGCTCTTGCTCAACAATCAACACAGTCTAGTGCTGAAAGTCAAAGCCATACACTACTGACCTAATGTTGTGATGAATTCCAATGGACATATTATTATTATTATTATTATTATTATTGGACGGGTGGGTTTCCCCATGCACCACTACTAATAGTCTATTGTACGTCCCCCTTTAATATTCTACCAGTCTCCATACCCTGCCAGTACTGGTGCTCGCTATCAGCCCTGTTCAGCCAGCAAGGCTGGCTGCGGTACCCAATGCTTACCCATCTACCGGAGGCATTGGAAACTACTTGGGCGGGAAACTGTTTACCTAATAATTTTGCTCAGAGGTCTCCTAGAGACATGAGGATCTTTTACATGCCGTAAATCTACGACACGGGACCCACGGCTTAAAGTCCCTCCCAGAGGACTTGTTCCCTGAATTTTTCCGCCCTTTATAAATTCGACGACCTCTGCCGGGTTTGAACCCGCGTACCTTGAGTCATGAGGTGGGAACGTTACCCCTAGACTACGGAGGCCACTAGTCTGTACATATACATGTTATGCATACTGGAACAGTGCACAAAACACAACCGGGGCCATTACTTTAGAAACAAAAATACCAAGTATGTATTAGGAAATATAAAGTTGTGTTCAAGCAATCACATGCTGATGTCTATAGGAGTAGTCCAAATTGATGTACAGCAAGAGGAGCACTGTCTTGTAGGATGCGACTCAATGTAGTCTGGTAGGATTCAATCTACCAAACTATAAGGTGGCACATAGTGACTGCTGTAAGAACACAAAATCCTATTATGTATTTAACACAAATTGAGAAACTTTGTGTAAACACATTGCACATACTTTCTCATGTGTAATTGAGCTAATTAAGTAATTAAATTACATTGGAAATGAAACTGAATGTTGTGTGGTAGACTACTACTGATTGTCAAATACCAAACAACAGTAAAATCTGACCAGTAAAGCACATTCTGGCAAAATCAACATCTTGCATTTTGACCCCTGGTATATGCACTGTTAATTTCCTTAAGACAGCACTTATGCATTTTTATTTAGAGATATTCTACCCATAAATTACAAAGTCCATCCAACCGTTCAGTCGCTAATGAGGGGTGGATGATACATATGTATACATCCATCCATATACATGCATATGTACGTACGTACGTACATACATACAAACAGCATAGCAAAAACCAATTTTTCAGGTATGAGGAGTGCTGTTTTCTAGAATGTGTCATCATGTAATCTGACAGAAGTTTGCCAACGTGTCAGAGGAATTCGCTGGCTCCCTCTTAAGTGTAGAAGACAGATGAATTCCTCTGAAAATCCGGTAAATTTCTATCAGACTACACAAAGTCACATTCCAGAAGACAGTTATCTTCAGATAGGGTAAAGTTCCCATGTCCACATACATCTTCAAAGTGTATGGGTGCATCGAGGTACAACATTCTACATCTCTGTACCAGGTGCCAGTGAGTCACCTCTTGGGCCATTCTCAGAATGTTAGGAAAGGGAAATACATCAACTGGACTATGGTCACTCGGCCAACAGTTCTGTTTAGGATATTACAATTTGCAGATGTATGCACAGAATTGCAAAAGAAAAAAAAAACATGTACTTAAAGGCACAGTAAATTCCAGGCTAAGATGGATGGGGCATATGGCACATATGTAAGAGAAGTGTACTCAAAGTTTTGATCAGAAAATCTGGTGGAAAGAGGCCACTTGGAAGACAAAAGCTTCGTTGGATTGGATAATATTAAAATTGATCTTCGAGTGAGAGGGTGTGGTCTAAATTCTTTTGGCTCAAAATTGGTACCAATTGGCTTTTCATATTATAAATCCTCCAGTTTCATTAAGTGTTTGGAATTTCTTGACTAGATTAATAACTATTAGCTTCTCAAGACGGACTGTTGCACAGCGTTAAAGAAAGTCCACTTAACTTCTAGTGACTTTTGTCGAAAACTAATTTCCGTTGGTATCACTAATGTGCATGTTTGCTCATAACACGTTACATCAGACTTTGACCCCAGTATTAGCAAACCACGTGCACTTTGTACTAAGCTTTGCATCACAACCTTTCGACGCTTTCGACCAATTAAACTGAACGCAGAACCAGTTGCTCATTGAAGTTGGAAGGGTCGATGTTGCCATGGCTGCACTAACCAAAGGTGAGAATTGCACAGTCATCTCGCACAGTCAGGTGTTAACTTCGAGATGTCAATGGAACATGAAGTTCTGTTTGGAGGAGAAAAAAAAAACTGTATTCTTTCAAATGATTTAATGTTGTCGAAGCCTGCAATAACACAATTTAATGAACCACTTGTGTGTGTAATTTCCACTCGTACAAACTCCCGTTGCGTTCATTTTGTCAGATATAACGTCAAATTTTCGCGATGTCGCCATGTGTGTAATTTTTAACACGACATAACCGGAATTCGTAGTATGTCAGCATGAGCAAGCTATATACACGAAACATTACGGTAGGGTAGTTAGACGCACAACTTCGCGTTAATGAGGTCCCGGGTACAACCCTCGGCTGTAGAGACCGGCTATCCTAGTTGAAGAAATTTTTGTGGTTTTTCTCAGTCCCTCCAGACAAATTCCGGAGCAGCGCCTCAAATTATGCTACGACCTTTCCAGTCGCGTACGTTTCAGTTCGTCACTCACAAACCATCCTATCTTTTGATGATATAATCTGAACAGCTGGAAGCATAGTTAAGTAAATAAAAAATAACTCGTTATTACCAACATAGAAACTGCCATGTGCCCAATTCCACTGCTTTCTTACATATTGCCAGTACATGGACAGCTAAACATAGGCTTTATGCAGCTGCAGTCTTTTCTTGACTGAAAAAATTTGTTTTCAAAAGATCTTGTATAACACAAGAGTTCAAGCCCATAACATCTCTCTTTTATAACCCCCACCTCAGAAGTTCATATGTCTTCAATGTTGGTATTGCTGATGGAATGAAATTAAAAAAGCATAAAGTTGAAATGACTTCATGACATGAAGTCTGAACCAAGTTCAAAGAAAATACATCAGCTGATTCAAAATATGTTATATGAGTGACACACAACTGCACAGATACACAGAATTTAAAGTACCATAAGACCCATCTTCCCCTAAGGATGCTAGTGAAACGGACAGAACCAGATGCATAAGTATAATGCCAGTAGTTCAGTCTGTCACCCTACATTACCAGCATGCCATATTATTAATATTACTGGCCAAGGACAAAATTCTAATTATTCCATTAGACAGTATAGTTGGTGTGAACTGAATTAATTTATTTGCATTCCATAGATACATACATACATACATACATTAGCGTTTCAGAGTATTCACAAGTGTGCAACTGGCGCCGAATATGAAACTTGTCAAACAACAGTCACAAGACAATCACAGATAAAATCGCAGGAACATCAATTCAACCACAGTTAAAATCTAAACTGAATAGCTCAAATAAATAGATACAATGATTACATACAATTATACCAACAAAATAATTAGCAATACATCATAATTCTCCTTCCTTAACTTGCACTTTGTCTATATTGATGCCTAATGTGGGATATCAGTCAGCATGCACTGCCCTTCTATTCCTTAGCTGTTGATCCCGACAGAAGAGCAAAAATTCATCAACAGTATATGATGGATTATGTATTAGGACATCTCTTATTTCATTTATAAACTGTTTTTTATCATGTACTAAATTAGCTAAATATCCAGGCAGACTGTTAAATATTTTTATACACATGCAATGGACCCCTTTCTGCCTCATTGCGAGATGTGATTGTAGGACATGTAAATTTCTTTTGTGTCTTGTTGGTCTCTCATAAATTGAATAATTAAAAGTAAAATATTCCGAGTTATTTATCATAAAAGTCATCAAAGATAAAATATACTGAGACACCAATGTTAATATATTTAACTTTATAAATGCTGGCCTACATGACTCTCTATGTTTCATCCCCATTATTATTCTAATAGTCTTCTTTTCTAAGAGAAATATTTTCTTGGCCTCTGACGAATTACCCCCAAAAACTATTCCATATCTCATGAGTGAATGAAAGTATCCTAAGTTGGTTAATACCTCTGGATATAGAACAAGTCAAAATAATACCTACTGGTACAA